CACCTCAGTGGACAGCGTGCATTCTGAACATGAAATATGTTGGCTTGACTTACTGAAGTCCAAATGGAGGGGCTCAAATGCAATAAAGTCTTCAACAGCTGTGCTTAATAGCAAAATAAATAAATAAATAAATAACAATTTTGAATACCTGTCCACTGTAGTGACCATTATGCATCAAAGGGTTAAACATTCAAAGACCAATCAGATTGGATTTCCATATTTATATAGAAATTCACATTTTATCGGTCAAATGTGGTGTAGCATATTGAGCTTTAAAAGCACCCAAAATAAATATGTGTGCTAACCCTTCACCTTAAATATAATCTCTACTTGTTCAGGTCTTTATTTTCTAAATTGACTGTTGAGAATATAGTTTGGACAAGGATAAATTATAGTATTGCTGTATAGAACAGGAAAGAACAGAGATGTTGTTGGTTAAATGTTAAAATGGCTTGCCTTACTAGATTGTTACAGACAATTACAGGGGAATCTTACAACAACATTACCAAATGAACCCTCGTTCACTGGATTATTCTAATATTACTGTTAAATCACTTCAGTCACTAACATAATCTGACTCAGTTGGATCTGATGTGTCTGCGTGAGATGATCTCAGAGATGACGAAAAACAAGTTGTGGGTGTCCTAACTTTTTTTTCTGCAAGCTCTGAAGAGGGGCAAGAAACATTTTCTCAAATTTTTCTTTAGCAGCTTTGGGAGTCTAAAATGTTCCCACTCAGGAGACTTGAAGCACTTCCTAAGTGGAAACAGATCAGTCCCGGTGATTGTTGTCACTGGTTCTGGTTCTGTTTCTGCTGCGTCCATCCATCCAGTTTCACTGAATCCAAAGAAGTCAAGACATCCCTGAGGATGCGTCTACTTCCTGGGCTGCAGTGCAAGTACTCTTGCACTTTTTAGCAATTATCGGCATTCTACTAATCTGTCCAGGAACTCCAATGAATATCGGATCTACAGTAAAGCGTTCGGCACCGAGTTCCTTACAAAGTTTGGGCTAAAAATCCCTTTTTAAAATAAATCCGGTCGAAAGCTCCACCACACGTTTTAACCACTAGCCGCCATCTTGGAAACTCCAGTTTTACTCAACTTTTACTGAATGACCAAAAAAGTACAAAGTACATACAATGTACCGACATAAAACTTTTTGAAAAAAATTAAACAATAAAGATGAGCTGTCAGATTGAGACAAAAAGGACAATGATCACTGATATTACCATAGTGGCAATGTGATGCGTGGGACCGCTGATATGTTCCAGATGTAAGGGGAATATTTAATTAAAACATTTAAGTTAACATAAAAGGGCTTTAGGAAGGAAATATTGTTTATCATTTAAACAAATATCAGCCTGTTGGATAATTACTGCTGGATGGAGGCGGTGTTCTGTCAGAACACATATTTAAGGAAACACAACAGGAGCACCAATGCCCGGTTTGCTGTGGTGCCATTTTATTGTAAATTCTACAGTTTGATCCACAGATGTGCTATTGCGCACCACACAATAATCATTAGATTTTTAAACACCATCTTGTTTTTTCAAGATTCTTGTGCTTCCGTTTACCAACGTATCAAACAAGCAAAGCTTAACAACCTGTGACTGAGAAAGGACCAACCATGTGGTTCATAAAGGCGATCGACAAAAATGTAGAGGAGAAAGAAAATAAAAAAACTGCTTAAAAAAACAAAACAAAACAGTACAACAAGACACCCCTTCAAAACAATCCTTCCCTACCCTCCCTGTCCCAGTCTCTGCCTCAGATCCACACAGCGGTCTCCCTTCGCTGGCACAAAGGGAGGCAAATTCTAGTAGCTAAATAAATAAACAATCTAACTGAAAAAGCGTTCACCTGAACCTTTATTGGGTCTGTACACTTTGGAATGCATCAAGAAAAGGGCCCCAACTATCCTGAACTTTCCAAGGGAAGTGCTAGATGGAACATCTTATCTTTTCGATAAAACTTGAGGCAGGACATACGGTCATGTAACCACTGCTTGTAAGTTGGGGTAACTGCATCCCTTCACTTGATCAGAATAGCCTGCCATGCCAACAGGGAGCAGAATGACAGCATCTGCATTTTAAATGCTGGTAATCGTCTCCATGCCTTTCTGACGCCGAAAAGGGCCAATAGAGAGCCACTGCAAGTTTGTGAATCCGAGATAAAGTGTGAAAATAAGCAGTCCTAAATTGGGTGGGAGAGGGACATGACCAGCACATAGGGACTAGTGTTGAAGTGATTTCCAGGTACATGCGGGATAGTCCTATAAGTTTTGGGGAGGTGGGCTCTATGAACAACTTTAAACTGTATGAGGCAATGGCATGCACACAGGGATGTAGTGTTGATGAGTTTGAGTTTGAGGCCCATGTGTCATCTGACATGGTCATATCCAAATCTCCCTTCCACTCCATCTTTAGTTTGAGTGAGAAAGTCTACGTCACGCTTAACATTTTATTGTAGAGCCTCAAAATCAGCTCTCTATGAATCAGGTTCAATAATAAGACAGCATTCAAACAATGTGGGCTCCAGGAGACTAAATGAGCCTGAGAGATGAGACTGAATAAAACTTCTGGTTTGTGACTACCTAAAACTTGGGACCTTGGTAAATTGTATCT